GAACTTTCTTCGGGATACGTATGGGCATGAACGATATGAACTACACGATAATAACACTATTAACAACAGCTTTCTGTCTTAAAAGTTATGATTAAATTTAATTGGTGTTTTCCACGAGTAAAGGGTTAGTTAAGTAGTCACACAAGTCATATAATTTAATAATAAAACTCTATCCCGACTGATGTATCGATTTTGGTCACTCCAGTGGCCACAGATTGAAAACGTGACAGAAAATTGGCGTTACTTTCGATTCTCACCAAATTTGGACAGTGGGATGACCTCATCATTAGCCAATTACAGCTCTTTTCGTCATATCCCCCCCTCGGGAGAATTTTTAGAATTTGGTATGCAAGCCACCGTAATGGCGGTCGCCGTCGGCGAAATGTTTATTTGCTCAAAATTGGGGCAATATCTTTCGGAGATGGAAATTAGGACATTTGTAAGGACACAGAAAGTAATTTGGGACCAGTTGCTGGCTTCTAAGGGCGGGGTCGCACTACTGTGAAAATCCTAATTTGGACGGACCAAAAATTTCAAAATTTGAAACCGCAAACGGAAAAGCCAAAATTGTAATAAATTTGTTTGGGTCGCATATGTGAAGTTCATTTCTGATAAAGTAATCTGATAACTCGATCAGATTTCATATTTCCCCCGAACCGTCCATAAACATGGACCAAAATCAGATTATCGGCGTTTTCTTCACTATTGCAGTTTTTCTTCTTCAGACTATTAGCATCCAGCAGCAGCAAGCGTTTACTTTTTTTATACTGTATCAGAGACGGGTGTTTGAATACAGGACACTCTTGAATGTTGCCTATTTAAGGAGAAGAAGAAGACACTTGTGTAGAATGCGTGTTGCACCCTACGCATGGAATCTTCCGCGAACGCAGATTAATGGTTCGACATCCACTACAACGACCCCTTAATTCCACAGGAATACTTTCGGCAACAGTTACGACTAAACAAGGCCACTTTTGTAGTGATTCGTAATATCCTGGGTCCGAGATTACAAAGGCAAAATTCGAAATTCAGAGATTGTTTACCGCCCGAGAAAGTTCTTGCTTTGGGACTGTATCGCTTCGCTCACGGAAATTCGTATTTGACCACTGCACCAGTGTTTAATGTGGGAAAATCGACTGTAATTGAGGCAGTGCAAGATGTCGTAAATGGTCTCTACGAAGTGCGCAACGAACACATCAAATGTCCGGAGACAATTGCTGAAGTAAATGCAGCTATGCAGACATGTACAAATCTCACAAATCTGCCCAATGTTGTGGGTGCTATAGATGGGTCACATGTGCGAATAAAGGCGCCAGTGAACAGTGCTGTGGATTACTCTAGTAGATATCAACAGCATGATTTCATTATCCAGGCTGTTGTTGATAGCTAAAAGATATTTCTTGATTTTGCTTGTGGATTTCCCGGAAGCATGCACGACGCTCGTGTTTTACGGCGCAGTACGTTGTTTAGGAGAGCGGAACACGGGGATATTCTTACAGCACCAGCAACGCTTATCAATGGCCGTGAAATACGTCCTTATCTACTAGGAGATAGTGCCTACCCTCTCTGCCCTTGGTTAATGAAGCCTTACCCTGAAGGCACAAGGGATCCTGACGAAATGAACTTTAACAGGCAGCTTTCTTCTGCCAGAGTTAGAGTAGAATGTACCTTTGGTGTTCTTAAAAGTTGGTGGAGAATTCTTCAAAAGCGCTTCGACAGTAGCATCGACTTTGCAGTAAGAAATGCAATTGCCTGCGCTGTGCTACACAACATTTGTATCAGAAATCGTGATGAATGGGAAGAAGACGATGGAGATGATGATCAACATCCCTATAATCCTGCGTCCAATGTTATGCGTGACGCGGATGACATGAGGGAATTTCTCAAAGACTATATTGCCTAAAATGACTACTCTATGCTTATCCTGGCTGTCGGACATTGCATTTATTTCAAGACTTAGAACTCACAATAGCTTTCTAGACATGCAATATATGTATTGAGTTCAAATTGATCATGTTCATCGCACAGTTAAGCAAAGATATATAACTTCTTGTTATTGAAATCCCAGACGTGGGGTTTTAACTGTAACAATATTTTCAAAAGTGTAACACGTAGAAACGCTCTTACAACATTAGCATACAATGGTCTCTTCCATTTAGATTGTCATTATTTTTGAAGAAAATTAGTGAGAGCTCCGACAAGAGCATTCATGGTAGCTAGTTACTGCTCATGATTCCTGTTAAAATTATCAACAGAGGTGCTCATTTCACCTCGTTGTGCTTCCAGCCCTGAGAGAGCATTTTTAAAGAACTTCCGTTCCTCGTCCTACTTGTCGTCTTCCCTTGCCCTTTTCTTCGTTTTCTTCCTTGCAGTTCTTTGTTCGGTGTTGTCTGTGTAGACAAGATCTTCAGCGGAGGCCGCATCATCTCCAGCCTGATTACTGCTCCCTGCTTTGCCAACACGATTTAAAGTTACGGCGTCTCGACAAACAAGATTTTCATCGATTTCGTTGTAGTGCACCGACCGCTTGAGATTGCCCCCCGTTTGTTTTGAATTCCAATCTTCGGCGCCTTTGTACCGTTCGATCCAGTACTTCATTTCCTTCTGGACTTTATTGCTGGTCCTCTTCGAGCCAAATTTCGAGTTCAGTGCTCGCGTGATTTCATCCCAGACCTTTAGTGCTTCTCTGCTCTCCAGGCGATCGAAATTATCAGCCCAAAGACAAATTAGCATTTTCTGGTCATCGTGGGGCCATTTATCGTACACAGTTTTCTTTGCTGGTTCGGACTCAGGAGAAGATGCTGAAGATGTACTTGCAACAGCAACGGAACTCGTCGGGGAGCTCGTTGTATCGAACAATGCGCTCCCTGGCCTGTTTTGACTGCCTTCACCCACGTTTAACTGCGAATGCAGTTCATTCATAAAGGGGCCAAACTGCTGCTGTTCCCGCTGCTGCTGCTGCTGCTGATCGAAGAAGTAACCGGGATAAAAGGGTGTTGAACCGAGAAAAAAGCCACGTCCATCCATGATCGCAAAGTGTTCTAGCGAAGTTCCCGCGCTTTGTGATTGCGTTTTATTATATTCGTTTCCGAGCGAAGCTCCCGCGCTTTGTGATTGCGTGCAGATCATGACCTTTAATGTCATTTCCCTGACAAGTTCTGTTATCACTGGAGACGGCTTCCTTTGTTAAGACAAAATTTTGGAAAATCGGTCAGCCCCACCCAAGTACGACGGCTCGTTTGAAGTTTTGGTCGTTTTTCCAATTTTCCGATTTTTTTTTAAGTGGAGGTCGCACTTAAAAATCTCGCGTGTTGACAGATTTTTGCCGCAAAGTAAACAAATTCTTCCGAGATTTTTTTTAGTGCGACCCGGCTCTAAGGCTGAATTTATCCAGAGTAAGCTGTGTTTTCGTTTTCGTGCCGAAAGCCACGCGATGAAATATTATCGGCTTGTTCTGCTGTCTTGTTCTGTTTTTTCTCTTGGTCGTTTTTGTAGCCCGCCGAGACCATTGTTTCGAAAAAGATGTTCCTATTCAAGTTTAAGCTCTGTGGCGATAATTCTGGAGTTTTTTGGCCGAAACGTCGGCTTTGTTATGCTCGTATTTTTCGGTTGCTATGGGCGACCGTCGCTTCCTTTGTTGACTCAAGCAATGAAGCGAGGTGACAAAAAATCTAATTATATTTAGTTCTGATTTTGTTCGATTTCGTTGAAATTTTAATATGATGAAGCTGGATTGTTAAGAAATAGATTTTACTACTGCCGATACGAGGTAGCTATTGACGCCAAAGTGACCTATCGCTTCGAAGTCAGGGTTTTGAAGAGATTTTTTTGCGAAGCGTGAGTTCGGCGTGACTCTGTAGTCTGAGATTTTTGTTGACCCTGAAGAAACAAGGTTTGGCGAGTAAACATTACAGATTGCGTAATTCAAAGTTGGCCGAGTGGAGGTCTGCGTCTGGTCTCCGACAAAACAAAAATTAATAAACCACGGGTAGAACATGAACCGCGCTCGGCCCATGGCCGCGCGGTTAACAATAATTCATTGCAGGCTTAAAATCATAGGAATATACTCTCCTTCAATCGCTTCGGCCGGTTTGGCACTTAGGTGGAAGCCACTTTTCTGAACGACGATAAACAGCGTCATGTAACAGTCACGGTAACTCTACCATCAGTAGGTTTCTTTTAAGTGCCAGCGGTTTTCCAGTTATAATTAAATTTCAACCCGCAACCTGCTCCCTACATGCACCCTGCACCCTGCAAAAAAGACCTGCCGGATATTTTCGGACTTCAAATCGGATCTCTCCAGGGTCGCGCGTTTCCCGACCGCTGGTCAAGGGGAACGAAGACTCTTGGTATGAGGCTGTTAGCATTCCAGTGGAAACCACCAACCAGTCTGTCCGCAAGAACAATTTGTGATATCACCGGAGATTTCGATCTTATCTGATACTCAGTGCGTGTTTTACCAGTGCGTAATTTTAGCAATTTTGACCATCAGGTTTGATTTGTAATACTTGATAAACAACTATACTGAGGCCTCATCCACACTACGCCAGAAAAATTTGAAAACGCAGCTTTATTTCTACGGTTAGGTCTTCCGTCCACAATAATTTGCCACGAAAACGGGAGCTCTTCGAACGAAAACGCTGTTCAAACCCGAGGAATTTGAAAACGCCGGCTTTGTGTTTTAATGTGGTTAGAAAACATTTTCAAAATGGAGCTTTTCCAAAACGATAACGTCACGATTTCCTCAAACACAAATCCAACATGACTGGTGATTGTTGCGTTTTCAAATTTCTTTAACGAAATGTGGACGGAAAACATTTGATGTGTTTTCAGAGTAACTAACACCCTTTTCAATTTTCTCCGGCGTTGTGTGGACGGGGCATGAGTGTTTGCAGTTCCTGGGTAGCCATTCAAAGTTAACGCTTACATCAGTTGAACAAATGACTGGCCAAAATATTAAGAAATATCAACAAAAAGAACTCAACTTGAGGTGTATTAAAACTGGTANTAGACTTGACACAAGTAGACTTTTACTTCTCTAAAATGAAGTCGACTTGTTCCGCTTGCACGGATTCGAATTTAAAATTTGGGTGTGACGTAATGATTCACAGCCTACCCCTAATTCCCTAGAGTGTTTTTGAAATATTTCTGAGCGAACGTAAGCAGAAAAATAAACCATATGCCTAGTAACCACAGCCATGTATAAGATCAGATTTCAAGACATCGTTTAAAGTTAAACAGAAGACGGGCCAAAATATTGAAAAAAAAAAAAGGAAAAGAACCCTCAACTTGAGGTGTATTAAAACTGATAAGAAAAGAAGAAATTGTATTTTTTCTTTGCCTCGCGGCAAATTAAAAGCCGAGAAAATTGAAAACGCAAAAAACGAGTTAATTATTGACTTTAGAGGATGAAACGAAACCAAAAACAACAACATTTCCATTCTTTTACTATAGCGGATAACATTTGAGAAAACACCGGAAAATAAAAGCGAAAAGACATATCTAAACAACAATTTAAAAAAAAATAGAGAGAAAACACAGCAAGTACAATTAAACTTACACTACAGTTACAAAGCAGTCTACGAAGTACGTACCTACTCATTACAATCTACAGCGGCATAGATACAACTAACTTACACTGTGTGCTACTCACAGAACAAAAGGACATTAAATTACAGCTTTGGCTTACATTGACATTTTTTTTTAGTCTTCGCTAAAGCAATAAAGTAAAAGAAATG